ATGTATTCACGATGTACCATATGCCAAAAGAAAATATCTTTTCCCTATCTATTTACATACCAGTCTAGGTCGTTCTTTTGGTACAAATCCTTTTGCCAAATATCGCTCACTGGTCAAATGGGATATTCCAAAAACCGAAGAACATTTTCACTCTACTCAGGTATTATTGGGCTTTTCTGCAAACTGCTGATTTATCTGCTCCTGACAATTGCTGATATCATCCATCATTACGTTGTGCTTGTGATTGCTACAATAAAATAATCTCTATCTGTCTGCTTGCCATTCCATTGCTTCGCATTTGCTCGCCCATAATTCCCAAACATCTCTTACCGTCTGGCCACAGGCAACCCACGCATCAGATAGTAATAACGAATTTATTACTCCCGTAAATTTATCAGATATAGTTGTACCATCGTATGACTTCCCTGATGAATTACATAATGAAGATGCTCATTACTTTCGTTTAGCTATAGATTTTCCAAGGAGCCAAATACCACTTCGTTTCATGATCCTGAACTAGAAGCCGTTTTATTCCCCGATTTATTCCCAGATGGTCGTGGATTTTATGGTGGCTTATGTAACCCGTTTGAATTATAATGCTAAAATGGGAAGTATATTAAATTTCAACTAATGGATATGACCCCCGCTTTCGCCTTCACCCTGTTTGGATGATGTGGTCATATATGCAACTGGAAATTTTACGAAATTTTCAAAACACTGCACGCATATATCGCCAGCATGTTAATTCTACACATGCATCCCTTTCCACCATACAATTGTTACGCAAAGTCATTATACTGATCAAATGATAGTAGATGAACAAAAATCAATGTCTTTGCATACTTTGTTCGTACTGGTGATTCTTATTTCAAGGAAAAAGAGCATCATTTAAACACTATGGTAAATGCAAAAGGTTTACCAACTTTATTTATCACTCTATCCATGGCTGAAAGTAAATGGATCATCTTACTGAAAATACATCGACATATCAAATACCCAATGACAGCCAAAAACCGATTTTGACTGCTCTCTCTGACTTATGTACCAGTCGCTGTTCAAAAATACAAAAGGCTCCCAGTCGACTCAATCACGAAAACGAAAACAACCAGAAAGAGCCGACAATGTAACCCCTCCAACTTCTGGCAAACCATCACCGACGACTTATCAGGAAATAGACTCTGCGTCTACGGTCGAAAGCGACCAAGAATCGGTCAAAAAGAAACTACACACAATTACCATCCGATAAGTTAAACTTGCTTTCTTATGAAGAGTCATAATGTAAGCTTTTTTTTTCTTTAAAAACTTGTAAGCGGGTTGCTGTTACGGCCACATAAGCTTCGTTGGTAGTAATTTACTTTCTTGGGTATAAACTCAAATTCTGACCTCCCTATTTTCTTCAGTAGTCTCTATTTCTTTTTACTGAATTGTCGTACATTACGCTGTGACACTTAGCATTTTTTAGCGTATGCGTTTTTAGCGAGGTCTTTCTCTGACCGAATCTCATTTTTTTATTTCCTTCGGTTAAATTGTTTTCAATGTTGAAAACTTTGTTTTAGTAATGCCCGTCGTTGGTTTTCTCTATTATAAACTCTACTTTTCTTTGTGACATCACTAGTCGTATTGTAGACGGCTTTAATTTTAGCATCGATTATAATTATTAGTCTGTGGTCAGATTAGCCAAACGTTGTATTGTTAATACGTTACGGAATTTATAGTAATTCCGCGTGTTTGGAATATTTGATTGAATTTGTGCGACGGGTTAATATGAATATCAAAAATAATAAAAAATAAAAATTTTCATCAACATTATTATTTGTAAGCAATAAATACTCTACCATATATAAGATAACCACCATTTATGCATCATGTTTACAATGGTTTTTCTCAACAGAATTATATGTCAATACAGGGGGGCGAAGCCCCCTATAAATTTATATCTAGTCATATATACAAATTTATCATAATGCAGAAATAACATCAGTACTTTATAAGCATCGATTCTGACATGAAGTATTAACACCAACAAGGAAAACCAAACCAAACTAAACCTTGATTGAAAAAACGTAACACGAAGAACACAAAAAAGAAAACCTAATTTTCATTTGACGCTGAATATTACTTAATTATAAGAAAAATGATATCACTTTTTACCGATACCTTTCAAATTTCGCGACCACGTCACAATTTGTATAAATCAACAAACGGAAGATAAAAGTTTCAAATTTAACGCCAAAAAAATTATTGCCACCAACTAATACTACAAAACCCCATTTTCCGCCTGCCCGGGCCAGCGGCGGACAGGCTATACCCGACCCTCTGGTTTAAATATTTTAAATTAATTTGTGTTTTAGTCTAACGTACTTTTGATCATAAGTTTTTACGAGTAAATTATTTATTCGAAATTTATATTTTAATAAATGTACTTGGTTACATCTTTTTTAGTTTGGTCAAAATTCAATTTGAAGCAAATTAACAATAATATAGTAAAAAGAATAATAATTACAATGCGATATAACAGAAAGCAAAATGCATGCTTAGAGCTATAATAGGGTGGATTTAACTTAATAAACTTAATTAAATCTGAGTACACATTTAATTCATTCGTTAGAATAATGTTGTACTCGGATGTTTTTGCTCTAGCTTTTGCGTTTGGAGTAAAAACATCCGCATTGCTTTGAGCTAACAATTTTCTGTGGTCGTAACGAGCTATCAAGATAGCGATAGCTTTGTTTCTATCAAATCTTGATAGCGTTTCTTCGAACGCAGTTACATCTTCAAATGTAACCTCTGTCCCGCCCTAAAAAGTAATTACGAATTTTATTAATACGTCGAATAATATTAGTATAAGGAGAGAGGAAAGAAAGACGGGAATATTTACCTTACATTGTCCTAAAATTGTATATTCTCTAAATCCTCCAAATAAATCAAATTCTCCGTCTCCAGATTCATCCTTATTAATAAAATAAATAAATACGTGTATCATTATTATTAAGATATACTATCTAACCAGGCACTGCAATATATCAAATATCCTATTCACCACAGACAGTCCTGTTTGTAACCTTTCGGCAACGGCGAAGAACGTTCACAGCAAGCTTTCGCATACTGTGGCCACAGTGCGCTTTCAATTCTCCGACGTTTTACGCCTACTGGCAGCGTAACTTTACATAACTCGGCAGACACTCAGTGAAAAACTCACCTAGGACGACGGAGCTCAACTCCTTGCCTTCTCAAATATTTTTGACAATGTTTTCGAACTGGCCTCCCCGTGCAACTAAATTTACCATTTCGCTTATTTGATATAAAAAAAATATTAATTTTTCTTTTTCAAATACAAATCAAAGCGATAGAATAATGCAATGCGTATATTGTTACCTCAAATGTATGGTAAACCGAACTGATAGAGAAATAAAGAGACAGACAAGAGCGAGAAATGAATAAAGAGCCAGACAAGAGCGATAAATGGATAAAGAGCCAGACAAAAAAAAATGGATAATAAGAAAGGGGAAAGTTAAATGCTCCAAAAGTCTCGGTACTTTTTGCATTCACATGACATTTATAATGGCATCATTGCGCTTTTGGCTAATAGAACTAGTCCAAGAGTCTCGGCACTCGTATGACATTTATGATGACATCATTGCGCTTTTGGTAATAGAACTACTCAAAAGTCTCGGTATTTTTTTTGCAATCACATGACATTCAGGATAACATTATTGCACTTTCACAATATTGCTCTATCGTACGTATCTACTATGTAAGCTGTGACGATCTCTGTACTGATTTAAAGATAATTGGTCATACTTTTCGAGAAAAATAGTGACACATTTAGTCCCGTTACCCGCATAAAAATCTATAAAAATATATGTATAACGTAGACATACGGCTTTATCGAATTGCAGCTTCCGAATTCAATTATCTTTAAATCAGTACATGGCTTACATAATAAATACGTTTTTGAAAATATATATGTTTTACTGTGTGATCGGTGAAAATTTACCCAGATTTTTGTCCGGTGTGTAAACAGAAGCTAGTCTAAAAGAGCGACAGCAGAACGATATCGTTCATTAGTCAAATGTCATCGTAAATGTCATGTGACTGCAAAAAAGTACCGAGACTTTGTTCTATTAGCAAAAGCGAATGATGTCATCACAAATGTCATATGACTGCAAAAAAGTACCGAGACTTTTGTTCTATTAGCAAAAGCGAATGATGTCATCACAAATGTCATATGAGTGCAAAAAAGTACCGAGACTTTTGTTCTATTAGCAACAGCAAATGATGTCATCACAAATGTCATATGAGTGCAATAAAGTACTGAGACTCTTGGGAGCTCTCTGTAACCCTTTCTCATTTCTCGCACTTGTCGTCTCTTTACTTCTTTGATTAGCTCAGTTTACCATACATTCGAGGTAATAATTTACGCATGCATTACTCCATTGCTTTAATTATTATTTTAAAAAAAAATTAATAAATCTTTTATATATCAAATAAGCAAAATGACAAGCTTTGTTGCACAGGGAAGCGAGTTCGAAAATATTGTCAAAAATATTTTGAGAGAGGAAGGAGTGGAGCTCTGTCGTCCTAGGTGAGTTTTTTCACTGAATATTTACCGAGTTATTATGATACGCTGCCACTAGGCGTAAAGCGTCGGAGAATTAAAAGCACTTTGTGGCCACAGTATGCAAATTTTGCTGTAAACGTTCTTCTCCGTTACCGAAAGGCCACAGCAGAGTTTGTCGTGAATATCGGGCTAGACAATATATTTTGATAATCATGATACACGTACTCATTTATTTTAATAATAAGGCATGAACCTGGAGACGGAGGAATTGATTTGTTTGGGGGGCATCGAAACTATACAATCATAGGGCAATGTAAGGTAAATATCTTCTATCTTTCTTTCTCTCTTCTTTATACTTCAATGTATTAATAAAATTTTTTAGGGTGGAGTGGCGGTTACATCTAAAGATGTGACCGTAGTCGAGGGAACGCTATCAAGATACGATAGAAGAAAAACTATCGCTATCTTGATAGCTCGGTACGAATATAGGCAGTATTTGGCTCAATCCGACTTAGACGTTTTTACAAGTAACGCAAAAGTCAGAGCCAATACATCCGAGTACAACTTCATCCTAACGGATGAAGTAAATGTGTACTCGGATTTATTAGACTTTATCGAGTCACATCCACTCGATAATAGTACAAACAACGACATATGCTACCTCCACCTAGCATATGTTGTTACAATTATTTTATTTTTTGCAATTATTTATTTAGTATTAAATATTAATAAAAATAAAGAAGGTGTAACTAATTACATCTACTAAAAATTTAAATAATCTCTTACTCGTAAAAACATTATTAAAAGTACGTTAAATTAAAACGCAACCAATTCAAATTTAAAACAATAAACTTTTATTAATAATGTGCCCGATTCTGAGATTTGATTTCTGGGATGGGCTGATTTTTACGATGTGATAATCCACAAACATTACTGGATTCTATCAGCGATGATGCTTCTTTAATAACAGTTATATACGCTCAGTTCACAACGCTACCATTACCCAATCGAAGGGTCATTGAACAGCAAAAAAAATAAGTAGGTCAAAGGATTATTCTTAGCTAAAACTTTAAAAATAAAGTGGCGAAAAACGCACTCTTCAATAATTGGAACAATTAAGCGAAGGATTTATAATAAGCATCTTCGGTTAATTCTCCCATAAAGCAAAAAACAAAGACACATTTATTTGCTAAACAAATAAACATAATTAGAGTAACAAGACTATTATCTATATGCAAGACATCTCAGAACAAACTATACGAAATGCTGTAAACGTACGCTTAAACGAGCATATCTATAATAATTTTTTATTTACTATGCTGTGTACAAAATTGCATTAAGTTATGCTTATGGTAAATGCGATAACACACACCGTAAATAACAATACTGATTAGCGTATTTTTCTTTATTAGTATCTAGGTAGGGGTGTTTGTTGGGGGGAACTTCGCCCCCTTTTTTAATTAGCAGCTAATCATAATTTTCTAAAAATAAAATACTTGAGAGGTGATACTGTCAATCTATAGGCATGATTATTATGTACGTTGATAGTAATATGATTAGTCGAATTATGGTAGGCGTAATAGATAATATTGCCCGGTCAGAAATTGGACACAAGGTTGAGTTATGGTATTATGAGAACGCTTAATAGTACATGGTTGAGCACATGGTACGGACCGTAGTTCTTTATTATTTTAGTATAGTAAATAAAACGACGTCGACAAATTGATTGATTTTATGACAATTTACTCTAGCTATTCTATATGTAATGATTGCTTACTGTGCAAGAGTTTTAGGGAAGAGATATTCACGGTCTCGTGCCTTTTTATTTATATTCCGCAAGGACGAGGTGTGCATACACAATTGTGCTCGATATTTTGGAAACAAATGTAAGATCGGATTGTCACATGAAATGGTTATAATTACTATTCTATTCTCCTTTACTGATAATGTTTACTAAAGTGCTTTTCAGAGTTGTTGGTGCTGAATTGTCTGTGGAGTAGAAATGGATTCTACAGAGTATGGTCAATAAATTTATATGATTGAGACCTTTTGTGAGACGGAGGTGTGGTATGATGAAGATGTAGAGGAGGGGTAGGTGGAGGTTAATTCAAAATTGTAGAGTTGAATACAAGTTTGTTGTTGTGTATATCCAATTCTTCTACTAGCGATACCCGAGACCCTACCTTCCCCATTTTTCTTGGCATGCTATTATATCAAAATCTGCTGCGTTTAAGTTTGATCCACTGCCGCTTATGTATTGGGTGGTGCGAGAGGTGAAGATAGTAATATTATTTCGTATTTGGGTAGCGGTTTTGATTGTCGCGATTGTGCGGATCCAGGTACAGCGACATGGCACTTGAATGGGTTTATGTGGGGGAAGGTGGACATGGCATAGATTAGTTAATAATGCGCTAGAAGGAAAAGGTTTCACACATGCCAATTACTTACAGTCAGTATATTATCGTGTAGTGATTTTATAGTGCCGGCTAGTTCGAGTGTGTCGTTTGGTGCAAAGACCGTTGTTGCTCGTCAGTCTGGATTGTCTTTCGGCACATATACGTCGAATTGAATATGTATCGGTTCAGCAGCGAAATTGAGATAAATTCCTTTAGCTTTAAACAGTGTATGTTCTGCTCTATTTTCTTTCTTGACTTCGAGGGAGGACATGTACGGCCGTTGAGTTTAAATGTACCAACATCGTGAGATTAAGTGAAAGAACGTCGCAAATGTGTTTCTTTTATACAAAATGCAATCAGGTATATGGTGCAAGTGGATAATAATACAGAATATGGTAAAAAATATGTTGGATGTAGCAGCGGGATTCGGGAAATAATGAAATAGTGGGTTATTTTTTAATAGACAGACAATATGGAATTATTATTATATACGAGTTGTGGCGTGCTGCGTAATGTAATCGTTGGTGCCATTTCGATCGGATTATACGGATTGCTGTGTGCATGCGTAGTATAATGTTGAACACAGATAAAGTGTTTGTTGGATGATGTTTAACAATAAGCATGTTTGATTAGTAAGCAAGCACAAACATCGACGTAAAAATATGTGTGTGGGAAAGGCCAGGCCTAGGCCGATCGATCTCGATTAAGTAAAAAGAAAATGAGGTATAAGCGTAAGCGTTCTGGCTCGTAGTAAAATTCAGCAATAGTACATTGTCTTTCTCGTCTCTCATTTAAGATCCTAATCGAAAAAGGGAATCTTGCTACTATCAATAGTAAGTATGGCATAAACATCTATATAGAATGTACTATGTGCCCAGCCTGATGAGTGTAGCAAAAACATTGGCATGTAAATGTTCTGGGCTTAATTGTCCGGAGCAAAGCGGAGGACTATTATTGTCTACGCACTGTGAAAAATTCGATCACATGAATTTCTCTGTGCGTCACATGATCTCGACCAATGATTGTGATTGATGTGATGATGTTATTGATCGCGTCCGCATTATTATTTTCTCGGGAAAAACAAAACAAATATTCGCCTTTATTACTTTTAAACAATAATAAGCTTTACTCTATGCTATTTTGTGACAATAAAACTAACCTTTTTTCTTCTCCCTTCCTTTCTTGTAGTCTTCTGCAAAGCTTGATTCGTTCGAGCCTGTCAAAACTGAAAGGTTTAAAGAGAAGATCTTGTAGAGCATGCACACGAGACACCACTACAAAAGAAAGACCTGCTGCGAATTCTTTTGCTCCAAGATCTATTTTAACTCTTGGCAAGGTGAGTCCCTGACTTTTGTGCACTGTGATGGCCCAGGCAAGACAAACTGGGAATTGTAATCACGAACACACTCTTCCATTTTTGCTTTCTCAAGTACGTCAGATTGGTGTGATTGGGACAACCTTGGTTCCATCTAATGGTTGGCCCTTTGTACTTATCAAAGCTAATGAAGACTACTGTAGGAAGGTATGGTGGTCCTTGGTCATTATAGATAATATCATGAATGGTCCCCATGGAGCCATTAACTAACCCAGCTGCTGTCCACAGATTTGCTGTTAACATGATACGTGCCCCTTTGGCTAAGAACAGCTGAGCTTCAAGTCCTTTTGCCATATCAGAATCAGCATTTTTTGCCTCCCTGCCACCAGTATGTACAGCAAGGATTTTAACTACTGGATGATTCAAGGATCTGAGCTTATTAATGAACTCAACATTGATCCACCTTGTCAATATATATACAGCATCTAAGAATCGGTTGCATTCTTCTCTAGACTGTTTATCTTCAAGTCTTGAGCTAAGTATTACCCAATCTTCCATAGTTGATTCCCCATTGCGCAACTGTAAGAGGATCTCTCTAAATTTTTGTTGCTCTTCAGAATCTCCAGATTGCCGTTGAATTACATCAAGCTTGTACACTTCCTGAAATTGCTTATAAGAGCAAATCCATCATTTGACAATGTGTCATGCTGATTGCTAGCATACATGGGGAGATTGAGCACAGGTGGAAGCTGCCCAAAATCACCAAACAAGATTATTGATCATCCACCAAAAGGTTTGTTCTTATGTTCGGGAAAGGCTTGTCACAGCCTTATATCAATCAAAGCAAGCATTTGGCGCCCAATCATACTTTTTTCATCTATAATGATATATTTCACACCTTCTAACTTTTGCTGTAAAATTTTTAACCGTTCTCCATTTATGTCTAGGTTATTACTATTATTACATATTGGTATAGATAGTGCAGAGTGAACTGTTCTCCCTCCAATATTGAAGGCTGCAACTCCTGTTGGTGCAAGCACAAGTAATGGATTCTTCCCTGCCACTTCATGAAACATATGTCTGATTGCCATTATAAGGTATGACTTACCTGTTCCTGCTGTTCCCATGATGATGATTCTTAGTGGTTCAGTTTGAGAGTTTGTGAGCATGCTGTGGTAATGTGATTTTATTCTCTCAAATACTATCTGTTGCTTTTTATTCAAGCTATCATAGTCCATATTACCATGATTTTCATTTTCTAGCTCATTTTCAATTACATGTTGCAAAAAATTGTTGGCATCTGCAAGATCTGAAGCATTATAATGTTGTTTACCATCATTAAGCCAATCATGATTTCGATCCATATCACAGTTTCCCAAGTCAGATGAATGCTCTATGGTTGCATTTGGTCCCATCTCTGCAAGAATCATCCAATCAGGCCTGTACTCATCCTGATCATTGTCGAGGCAATAGTCATGGGAGAGCGGATAACTACTGCCTCAGTTTGGGATCTAGCTGCGCCGTCGTAGGAGTGTGGCTCACCTCAGCGATAACTAAATCGTAACAAACAGTTAGTGACCTTTTACTTTAGGCTTTTCGGTGCTGACGTATTCTTATACGGATTGCACAC